TCGCGATCCCAGTTGTCATTTCCAAATCCTCACGACACCATACATCAAGCAAATCCTGCCAAAAATTAAACAAAATCATGTAATCTGAACGCAGCTTTAGTTTTCATGCTGATGCAGATATACTTAATGGTGAGTAGAAATGACACACAACAACCTCAAAACATTATGCGATTCTTAGTGTGCCTCAAACAGGTGAGTGGGCTTGACAAACCACCTTTAAAAAACACACTCTTTCATCTCTGGAACATTTGCACCACACACTTTCTTACAATCACTCCATATCTCTCTAAAAAAGAAAAAACATTGTGCATTTAAAAAGTGAGCTTTACACAGGTGAGTGGGCTTGACAAACCACCTGTAGAAACACTCTTTTCTCTATTAAAAAACTACTCCCGCCTTCATCTTGGACATCTTGGCTTGTGCCTCATGGAGAGATCTTGGATTGGCTTCTTTTGGTGATCTTTACATTGACGGTGTTGTTGCCTGTTTTGGTCAGTTGGCCTCCCAATTTAATGTCCCTAAAGCCAATTTTTTCAGATACTTGCAAATTTGAGATTTTGTGCGCAAAAAATTTGTTAACTTTCCAAATGCACCGCCTACTTCAGATCTAGACACAATACTGGGCATAGATCCCTGTGCTAAAGGTGCAATTTCTAAATTATTTAATATAATTGTTAATCTTCAATTTTCTTCTGATAATTTACGGACCACCTGGTCTCAAGACATTGGAATTGACATTACCTAGGAGACATGGAAAGCGGTCTTGAACAGGGTTAACTCCTCCTCAATCTGTGCACGTCACAGGCTAATACAATGCAAGGTAGTGCATAGAGCTCACTGGTCCAAGAGCAGGCTATAGCTCGCATCAATCCGTCTATAGACCCTGACTGCAACAGATGTCATTCTGGTACAGCTACTTTATTCCATATGTTTTGGTCCTGTCCTTCCCTGCTTTCTTTTTGGAGACAAATATTTCTCTTGCTATCAGCTGTTACCACTGTTGATATCCCACATTGTCTAATTATTGGTTTATTTGAGGTTCTTCCGCCCGACCACACTTTACCCTCTAATTTTGTAGACTTTGTAGCCTTCTTAACCCTTCTGGCTTGGCGATTAATTCTTCTGAACTGGAAGAGCCCTCACCCTCCTTCTCACTCTTGTTGGATAAGAAATGTTCTTTATTTTATGAAATTAGAAAAAATTAGGTACTCTCTTCACCGAACTAGCACTATTTTTATCAAATTGTGGGAACCCCTTCGCAAATATATCCAAACTCTTCAGCTTGACCCTGCTACTTCTGATTGAGTTCCCACCCCCTAATGCCCAGCTTTTACGGGAAATTTCTGGTCAACACATTGTAGACTTGTTTTTTATGTATATAAGATTGCACTAGTGTTGTTGGTTTTTATTTATTTATCTATTTATTTTTATTATTTTATTTTTATTTTTTATTATTTATTTATTTATTTTATTATTATTATTATTTGCTCAAAATACTCTTCAGTGTATTTGCTTATTGTTACATGTTTATGTCTTTGTAAACTTTTGTTATGTTTCACAATGTATAAATAAAACTTAAAAAAACTACTCCCTTACCTGATCACTTGATTCTCTGAGCACTAACAGTTCCTTTGTATAATCAGCACTTGTGTGTATTGCCTCTTCTTGAATCACCGAATGCCTCCTCAATTGTAAGTCGCTTTAGATAAAAGCATCTGCTAAATGACTAAATGTAAATGTGAAATATGCATGTAGTGGTGGGCAACCTTTACCAGGTTTCCCTGTCCATGCAGCACTCTTACACCATACCTCTTTGCATCAGCGATCTGTGTGGCCATTGAGTTTTGCTGCCTGTGGAGTGCGTAAAGTCCTTCAGTATTATTCTCCAGCTGAGCTTTTGAGTGATATCAGCAGACCACAGTCACATCCAAACCCTGAACTGATCTTCACCGCAGGCGAGAAGCGCTGCGTGTGATTTGTTAGACTGAACAAGAGTTTTCTGGGCCATGTATTGATTTTGTCTCCATTCATGAGCTCCGACTGCTTCTCGAAGGAGATTTCAGGACAATCTCGCAACATGCTAAACGCTTAAGTTAACCATCTTGTCTGTTTCGTACTCCCTCATATGAGTGTAAAGCGCTTTGGGTGTATAGCCGTATATGTGCTATATACTATGTACTATTCTTATCTTTGTGGTTGGTGAGTTGCATTCGTTTTAGATCCACAACTCGGGTAAATGTAACAAAAAAGCTGCCAAAAACATTATCTTTTACTTCAAAAACTAATAAAATCAATAAATATATACAGGGCTTGACAATAGGCCCTTTCACACATACAGACATACAGGCAATTTTTCGGGAAGGTTGTATGTGTGAACAGGTCCTTTTTGAAAATACCGGTAAATTCGTTCTGGCTATTTTCCGGAAAGAGAAGTTGTAACATTACCGGTAATTTGCCGGAATGCTGCGCTGTGTGAATGCAGAAGGAAGATTCCCGTAATAAGCGCGTGCACGTCTAGAACGTGCTGACGTGAGACGTCTGCTTTAGCCAATCAGAACAGTCAGACGAGTTTACGTCCGCGCGGTTTGTGAGAATAAAAGCCTTTCAATATTTTTCCAGACACATTTAGCTGCTAGAAGTTAGTCAGATCACGTTTATATGTTCTTCTTAATGCCAACCGTGTAATTAATTATCGATAAGATGCTTATGATAAGCGGCTGTTTGTTTACCTTCAAGCTTTGCGTGTGCCTGTGAAACAGCCTGTGAGCGCCTGCACACGCACATATTATGAACATCTCAACATGCGAAAGTGATCCTGCGAAAGTTGTTCACAATATTGATCATCCACAGAGTTTGTAATTTAGTCAAATGTTTACAAATACAAGCGCAGCCGTTTAGAGCTCATTTGTGGTGAATGATGTCAGAATTTACCGGTATTTTGGAATGGATGTGTGAATGCTCTTTTCCGGAAAATTTCCGTAATGTCCTCGCCTGTGTGAACAGCGCTTTTTTCAATATACCGGTAAAGTCGTTCCGGAAATTTTCCAGAAATTTACCGGTATCACTGTGTGAAAGGGGCTAATGACTTTTTTGATCACCAGCCACTGTAGATTTCTAACATTACTAGCCACTTGGCATTTTCACCAGCCACAATTTTGTTGCTTGGAAAATATATTTTGTATTAATAAATGTGACTTTGACATGCTGAAATGACTTGGTTTAGATGTTGTGTTGTCCACATGCCTTCTCATTTATTTCACGGTTTGTGTGTGTTGTGTGTGAGCATTGCAATTGTTTTTTATTTCACATGGCTTTTTTAGTGCTCAAAATTAAGGATTTAGCAAATTCATCTCTGACAACACCAAAAAGGCATAATTATTTTTAGCCACACATTTTAAATGTCAAAACAAGCAAATATATAGCTGTATACATGCACTTTTTATTCGACAAAATGTTTCTTTTTATTTGACATGTAAAAAGATCTATTGTCATGTATCTAAATTATGCACGGTAATCTATCCTGGCTAAAGGTCTCAGATCAGCGGTTACTACACATAAATGGGGAGTTAATCTGTTATTAGAGCAATGTTATTGTAAAGGATGATAATTAACTATATTAACAAAATAACTGTAAGCAAAAGAAAAGCAGGTAAAAACATACCACGAGTGATGATGAAAGGATGATCACGTGCCTGAGAAGAATTAAAACGAAAGCAAAACCGATCGCAACTGGTGCGCGCACGTGCACTTTTTGACAGTAATCATTCTCTCATAAGGTATTCACCTGCTTTTGCTCGAGCGAACAGTTATTTTTGTCAGTCGTGCTGCTTCTCGATTCTAAGATCACATTTGCACGCATATTGGGCCATCCTTATTGTCGTACTGTGCTTTAAGAAAACTACGAACTACAAAGGGGCTAGTGGGGGCGGGTGTCTTACCCACCAAAGCTGAAATTTACCCGCGTTTGGCAAGTGTTAAAACTATCTGCTGTTAAAACTAGCATAGAGCGCCATCTACTGTTAAAAACTAGCCTAGAGCGCCACCTACTGTTAAAACTAGCCTACAGTGCCATCTACTGCTAAAAACTACCCTAAATCACCATCTACTGTTACAAAAATAGCCTAGAGCACCATCTGCTGTTAAAAGCTAGCCTAGAGCGCTATCTACTGTTAAAACTAGCCTACAGCGCCATCTACTGCTAAAAACTACCCTAGAGCACCATGTGCTGTTAAAACTAGCCTAGAGTGCCATCTTCTATTAAAACTACCCTAGAGCTATTGTTAAAACTAGCCTAGAGCACCATCTACTGTTTAAACTAGCCAAGAGTGCCATCTACTGTTAAAACTAGCTTAGAGCACCACTTGCTATTAAAAACTAGCCTAGAGCACCATCTTCTGTTAAAACTACTCTAAAGCGCCATCTACTATTGAAAACTAGCCTAGAGCGCCATCTTCTGTTAAAACTACCCTAGAGCACCATCTATTGTTAAAAACTACCCTAGAGCGCCATCTTCTGTTAAAACTACCCTAGAGCGCCATCTACTGTTTAAAACTACACTAGAGCGCCATCTACTGTTAAAAACTACCCTAGAGCACCATCTACTGTTAAAAACTACATTAGAGCGCCATCTTCTGTTAAAACTACCCTAGAGCACCATCTACTGTTAAAAACTACCCAAAAGCGCCATCTACTGTTGAAATCTACCCTTGAGCGCCATCTACTGTTAAAAACTACCCTAGAGCGCCATCTACTGTTAAAAACTAACCTAGAGCGCCATCTACTGTTAAAAACTACCCTAGAGCGCCATTTACTGTATAAAAATAACCTAGAGCGCCATCTACTGATGAAAACTACCATAGAGCACCATCTACTGTTGAAAACTAAGCTCAGAATCAATTTCTTGAAGGATTTTTGGCGACAGCTCTAATAGAGACTGTTCATTAGAGCATGCGTTTGATGTTTGATTGTGAATAAAGTGCTTGTGTTTTGTGTTTCTGCAGATATAGACGAGTGTTCGTTTGACCGGGCCTGTGACCACACATGCATAAATTCACCCGGGAGTTTCCAATGCTACTGTCATAAAGGCTACGTCCTCTACGGCGTGGCTCACTGCGGAGGTAAGCAAAGCAGGTTTCGTCCACTCCAAGTGTGTGTCTCTCGACCAAAAGTGGCTGCATCAGTGCACTTGTTTCACGCTTGGCTGAGCAGATGAAGACTCATTTAGTGATGTATGCGTCTCTCGCCATTGTAAAGAGAAACAGGAATAATGAATGTTTCTCTCTTTCCCTGTTAGCGCTTCGATAACATCCAGATCAATGCGGCTCTTTTGTTTCTAGAGAATGGTCATCGGTTTCCCATTGAGCCTTTATCTGCTGGGAAATGATGCTAGATCTGCAAAAGCCTCGAGGACACGATTGATTGTTTGAGAGTTTACAGTAACAGAAGTGTAGGATTGTTGAAGCAGATCCAAGCAGGAGTTAAAAACAGCTGCTTTGAGGACATTACAGGATGCCCAGCAGGAGAACTGTCTGACTGACTTGCTGTAATTTTTTTTTTTTGTCGTTTGTATGTGGCAATCTAACATCGGTTTTCTGTCACCGCGTTCCTCTTGCTCGCTCTTCAGATTAATGAAGGCTCTGGGATCCAGACAGGGAAAGGAAACGTGAAAGTCAAAGGCTTTAGACTGGAGCCTATGATAAAGAAAAGGGGAAACCAGACGAGGGTGGCCAGCTCTTTGTTCCTTACAGAAGCACACAAAAACTCCTACACACACACACTTTTACAAAGATGTACTGTTTGTAATCTGCTAGATCAAACTATTTATTTCAGTTTGTATGGAAACGTAGTTTAAAAAATCAACAAAATCAAATGCTATAGGTAATTATAAGACTTTTTAATGACAGAACTCTGACTCTTTCGCACAATTGCAGCCACAACCTTATCACCCTGCAGCCAAAGACCAGTTATACTCACTGAAGCTAAGCAGGGCTGAATCTGATCAGTACCTGGATGGGAGACCACATAAACTAGGTTGCTGTTGGAAGTGGTGTTAGTGAGGCCAGCAGGGGGCGCTCAACCTGTGTTCTGTGTGAGTCTTAAAGCCCCAGGATAAGGAAGGGGACACTATACTGTCACTGAGTGCCGTCTTTTGGATGAGACGTTAAACCGAGGTCCTGACTCTCTGTGGTCATTAAAAGTCCCATGGCATTTCTCGTAAAGAGCAGGGGTGTAAGCTTGGTGTCCTGGCCTATACCCATCATGGCCTCCCAATCATCCGCATCCACTGAATTGGCTCTATCACTGTCTCTCCACTCCACCAATAGCTGGTGTGTAGTGAAGCACTGGGGCGGTTGTCATTGTGGCTGCCGTTGCGTCATCCATGTAGATGCTTCACACTGGTGGTGGTGTGGAGAGACTCCCCCTCATGACTGGAAAGTGCTATAGGTGTATGGTCATGCATGATAAATGTGCTGTATGAGAACACATTGCATTACAGTTACGTTTATATTACAACATGTTCTTTTCCTCTCTGAATCATAAGCTTACATTGAATAATTTGACTTTTTGGGGGGGGAATTTCAGATTTTTATCTTTTACAGTATTTATTCAAAATTACCAAATTTCTTGGAATTCTGTTTAGTCTTGGTATTCTTGTCATTTTTATTTTGGAATTATTTTTTCCAGGGAATTCTGTTTTATTTTTGGATTTCTGATTTCATATCTCGCAATGTTTACTTTCTTTTGGAATTCAAAATTTGTGCCTTGGATATTTTGACTTATTTTCTTGAAGATTTATATATATATATATATATATATTTTTTTTTTTTCTTTCTTTTTAAGTTGTAATTTTGTGATTTGGAAATTAACATTTTTTTCTTGGAGTTTTGATTTTACATATTCTTTGAAATTCCAAATGCATGCCGTGAGAAATTTCTTGGAATCCTGGTTTATTCTTGGGATTCAGATTTCTTTTATCTTGTCATTTTTGGATTTCTTTTGGATTTTTTTCTTGGTATTCTAAATTTACACCTTGGATATTTTTTTTTTCTAGATTTGATGCTTTGGAAATTATGGAGAAATATTCTTGAAATGTAGATTCTTTTCTTGGAATTTTGATTTTATCTCTCAGTGTTCACATTTTTCTTGTAATACTAAATATCTAGGCTACTTTTAACACAATAAAGATTCTTACGTTTTCTTGGAATTCTGTTTTTCTATCTTGCCATCGTTACTTTTTTTCTTAATTTTCTTTAAATTTATATCTTGTGATTGTTACTTGGAAATTCTGGCTTTTTCTTGAAATTCTGCTTTTATATCCCGCGTCTTTACATTTTTTTGAAATTCTGATTTCATAACTTGCAATGTTCACTTTATCTTTGGAATCCTTATCTATTTCTTGGATATTCTGAGTTTTGTCTTGGAATTTTGACTTTTTGTGGAATTCTGCTTTTATATCTCGCCATATTTTTTTCTTTGTAGAAAATCCAAATGCATGCCTTGGATATTTAGATTTTTGTCTTGGAATTTAGACTTTTTTCCTGGAATTCTGATTTTATATCTTACAGTGTTTACTTTTTTCTTGGAATTCAAAATAACATCTTGAAAATTCTTACTGTTTCTTGAAATTCTGCTCATATCTCGCTATTCGTACTTTTTAAATTGAAATTCTGCTCTTATATCTCGCTATTCGTACTTTTTTAATTGGAATTCTGCTCTTATATCTCGCTATTCGTACTTTTTTAATTGGAATTCTGCTCTTATATCTCGCTATTCGTACTTTTTTAATTGGAATTCTGCTCTTTTATCTCGCCATCTTTACTTTTTTACTTGGAATTCTGATTTTAATTATTGAAATGTTTACATTTTTCTTTGAACTCTGAGTTTACATCTTGGAAAGTCTTACTATTTCTTCGAATTCTGCTCTTAGATCTTGCTATTCTTACTTTATGGCAATTCTGATTTTATATCTCGGCATCTTTACCTTTTTTTTTGGAATTCTGATTTGATATCTCGCAGTGTTTACCTTTTTGGAATTCTAAGTTTACATCTTGGAAATTCTTACTGTTTTTTGGAATTCTGCTCTTATATCTCTCTATCTTTAATTTTTTTTTTCTTGAAATTCAGATGTTATATCTGTTGTGTAAAGGAATATATATTTTATTATTTTGTCTCTTTTTCTTTTCATGAAACACTTGTATTTGCTTAAAGGTGATATATTAACTGAACTTCTACAGTTGAGTGTGATCTGCTTTGCATACTAATGAAGCATTTTTGCAGAAGTAGATTGAAGCTGATAGAAGTGCAAAGGCCTGATTGTCTAAAATTAACTTGAGCTCTGCAGCTAAACTTCCTGTCAGCAGAAATGCATTGAAACTGAACACAGAATATATGCACTTGAGAAAGTCCTGTGCTTTTAATGTTGTGCAGAGAATTTGTAGAAAAAGAGGATGCATGTATGGGTGCGGCCAATAGAGAACTGAAGAATGATTGATAAGTGACGAATTTCACTAAACTTTACCTGTTAATATCAGCTGCGTATAAAAGCGGGATTCAGGAAATGTAAATTGTTGCGCACCTCCTGAATGTAGCTTTTGCATTGCATTGAGGATACCAGAATTCTGTGAATCGCATTATTCATTTGTATCCAATAAATGCTAAAGATTTTTGACATTGAAGAAAAACCCTCTCCTGACCTTTTTGATTGAACACGCATGGAATTGATTAAATATTCCAACATATCTCACAATGTTTACTTTTTTTCTTTTTCTTTTACACCTTGGAAATTCAGATTTTTTTCCTTTTTTTCTTGATTTTTTTTTACATTTTCTTGGAATTCTGCTCCTATATCTCACAATGTTTCCTTTTTTTCCTTGGCATTCTAAATTTACTTCTTGGAAATTCTGACTTTTTCTAGAATCTTTACTTTTTCCCCTTGGTATTCTAAACTTACACCTTAGAAATTCTCAGTTTGCCTTTGACAGTTGACACTTTTTCCCTTCAGGTTTTGTTCCAGGGTTAAAAGTAATTACCTAAAAGTACTTAGGTCAGCGTCTCCATCTTTTAGACTACTTCATCACACTGAAGGACAAATCCACTGTCCTGCATTTGGGATATAGTGTGCTGTACAATGCTCTATATATACAGCAGACTCGTCTAAATGTCTGTATTTTTTCTGTTTTTTTATTTTTTATTATTGTTTCTAGATATCGACGAGTGCAGCATTAATCAGGGTGGCTGTAAATCGGGCTGTCTTAACACGCTGGGCAGTTATGAATGTACCTGTCCTCCTGGATACAAACTGCACTGGAACAAGAAGGACTGTGTGGGTATGTGGACAGCAGCGCCACCTACAGCACTTTCACACACATACATTCAATTATTGGCCCTCCTGTAAAATTATTGAATGCTTTTTTTTAAATATTTCCCATTTTAATAATTCAATAATAATTTATTAGTTTTAATAACTCAAATATTTTGATGGCAGTAATAGCATTTTTTTAGTTATTTTGCAATATACTAGTTGTGAGGTTAAAGTGGAATTTAAAGACTTAGTTAACTAGGCAAGTTAGGGTAGTTAGGCAGGTCATTGTATAACAGTGGTTTGCTCTGTAGACAATCAGGGTAAAAATGTTTAAGGGGGCTAATAATATTGACCTTAAAATGGTTTAAAAATTAAAAACTGCTTTCATTCTAGCCGAAATAAAACAAATAAGACATTCTCCAGAAGAAAAAATATTTTAGAAAAAAATTCCCCTCTGTTAAACATAATTTGGGAAATATTTTTTAAAAATAATGCAAATTTCACAGAAGGCCTATTAACTTTGCCTTCAACTGTACATTGTATATGTCAGAATGTTATCAGATGCTGGCGCTCTGGTCAAAAACTAATTGTGCTGCATATTTTAACACAACTCAATCTTTTTTCTGCAGAGCTCATAAAATGTGCCTCCAATTTGGTGGCCCCCAAAGCCACCCTGGCCTGCAGTAAAACGGGCAAGAAAGAGAGCTGTTCCCTCACGTGTGCATCCAAAGCACATTATCTGTCAGGTATCAGCAAAGTACTTAAGCATGACTTTCAATCGTGACTACAGCAGAAGCACACATAGCGGTCTTGTTCATTTGTATCCAATGCACTTGTTGATGGTGTGTTACCCAGAATCAGACAGCAGTTATTCTGTCAGCTGTGGAATATCAATCCTGCGAGGAAAATCTCAGAGCAGAGTCAACACGAGCAGCATCCAGAGCTGCATAGGTGAGATCACACACACACACACACACACACACTCACACACTCACACACACCCACACACACACAGCCTGATTGCTTCAAGAGCACATGCCCTTTACATCTTGTAGTATGTTGTAAAATCTGTTGTAAAATACATATATATTTTTATTAATATTATTGTTTTTAATAAATTCTGTTCTTTTGACCATTCTATTAAAAAATATAATAAATAAATAAAATCTCATCACTGTAATGAATTTTATTTTAACATAAATGATTAAACAAAAGTGAATCTTGCTTACAAATATATATATATATATATATATATATATATATATATATATATATATATATATATATATATATATATATATATATATATATATGCGCAATATCACACGAGTAGCAGTGTGCTATGGCTGTATATCAGGACTGGTGTGAGGTGTGTGTTGGCAGACCCATTTGTATTAGGAACTACTTTCTTCTGCCATTTATTCACATCTGCAGCTGACGTCAGAACAGCAGAAGCAGTTACTAATTCACCAACGTCACTTTAAAGCTAGTATTTGAATGATTCTCTATTGCGTGATGTAAAGCGTCGCTTCTGGTGTGTGACCCCCTTAAGGTGATGACAAAACAGCAAATTTTGCTCACATTTTAAGATCATAAGGCTGAACGTAACATGAAATGCCATCCGTCTACAGAGATTTCTCACCAGACTCCTGTTGTGTTTGCGATAAGGAGGGACAAGGCTGAATCCAGCTTCTTATTCGCAGCTTCTTATTGACTATCCTGTCCACCTTAAAAACCACAAGGCTTCCATTTTTCAGCTTTTTATTTGCGCTGAAGAGAACACACTGAGCAAGGGCTTGTTATGCGATTCCAGCGCCATCTTGTGGATAGACAACGTCAACCGTCTTTGTCCGCCGATGAGCTCCAGAAATTGTAAATATTTTAAAATAGGCACTATTCTTGCAAATAAATTGCATAGTTGCAATCTAAATAACTATATTCTCGACTAAAAAAAGCCTCAAAAGTATATTTTGTTGTCTAACCGCAGTAATATTTGTCAAACTGTAGTGTCTGTTGCTGGCTGTATGTGGGCGGAGTAATAC